CGTGTTGCAAGCTAGGTTAGGTTGCTGCAACATGCTAGGTTGGTTTCCCACTCGAATGCCCGTGGCCGCCCCGCTGGTTAGGTGCTGCTCGCCCCTTTCTCTCCATGTTCCCGGCTCCGGACCGTCTGCGGGTTTCGGGGTCGGGGCGGGGTTCAGTGGCGGCAGAGACTCGGGCGGTTTTCGGGGGATGCCCCGTTCGGGTTGGGGACGGAGGTTTGAGCCTGTGCCTCCTGCCAAGGCTTCTGGGTCTTACCAGCGGCCCTTTCTTGTTGCCTTTCCCATGGACTCTTGCTTTTCTTTCAGGGCGGAGGGCTTGGAGGACGGCTCTGCCCCGGGGCCTCTGTTGTTGGTTCCCGGGGCTGTGGGGGTTGCCTGCTAGCAGTTCTGGGGCGGTTTTGCCCCTTCAGGGGTTTTTCTGCTGTTGGGCGGCGTTTTTCGCCCTTCCAGTCTGCTAGCTTCCCACATTTGCTGGCGTGTTTTTGTGTATTTAGCGTCAGTCACAGCCCCTGCTGGCGGCCATTTTCGTCTGACGGTTTCACGGCGTGGCCACCAGGGCGGCGTTGCGGTTTGTTTACATGCGTCTGGGTGTTCGAGCTTTCTTCTCTGGTGAGTTTTCAAAACATTTTCAGGGTTTTTGTTCTCCTGTTGTCGTTTCTTTGTTTTTCTGGTGTTTTCTTGCCGTTGCCTGTTCCTCTGGGAACGTTTGGGTGTTGATTTTGGGTCTGAGCCTATGGGTTTAGGCTCCGTGCCCCTAGCTGGTATGCTTGCTCCCACACCTTGCCCCTCGGTTTTCGGTCTGTTGGGACCGTTTTCCCAGGGCGTTCTGCTGGGGTCTGTGCTTTGCCTTTCAGTGGTGTTCTCCGCCGGCAAATGTGGTGGTTTGGGCTCCCCCTGGTTCGATTCTGGGTTCCTTTGGGTTCCTTGGTTTCGTTCTGGAGGTTTCTTCCTCTTGGGCCCCCTTTTGTGGGTTCGGGGGACTTTGTTTCCTCGTGTGACCCGGTTCTGCCTTTTGGGGTTCCGGGGTCTTCCTGGCTTGCAGACTGAGCTTTTTGGGTCTTGGCACATGTTGTGGTTGTGCTGGGATTTTGTGGTTTTGCTGTCGAGGTGGGCCTTTTTGATGCAGTTTTGTGCCTTCTTTGCCTGGCCGGCGTAGTGCTCTCTGCCACTAGTCGGCGGCTTGTGCTTTTACAATTTATGTCCTCACCTAGTTGTGCTTGTGGGGGTTGAGCTCTGGCTCCTTGGTCCTGCCTCTCAACCGTCCATCGACAGGTGTTTCGGTTTCTGTGCCTCTTGGGCTCTGTCATGTCTACATGTGACGTTGTATGGGGGTCAGCCTCGTTACTTGTGTGAGGAGTCGCCCCATTCCTTCCTAGTGCTTTACTGTTCCCATTCTGACACTATAAAAAAAAAAAAAAAAAAAAAAAAAAAAAAAAAAAAAAAAAAAAAAAAAATTTAATTCTATCTGTGGCTCTTTTGGATACTCTGTTTCCACCTGTGTCCCCTAGTGCGTGTGCCCCTTGTGTTACATAGCCTGTCCTTATCAACCCTGTCGATTCCCTTGGGTTTCTTGAATGTGGTGATGAAGTCTCCCCTCACTTCGTCTAACAGCGAAGTGTGGTTTCATTCCCGTAGTCTCTCCTCATGCCTACGGTAGTGTACTTTTTCTTTCTGAAGGGGTTCTGTTCCCTTCTCTGTTGACTGGGCGCTGGGGGAGCAGCTTGCTCTGTTGCCTCTCGCTTGGTCCCGCTGTTGGTGGGCGCTTTGGGTTGTCTTCCGGCCCCTGCTGGCGTCGGTGGACGGCTTCTCCCCCTTGGGGGGGGGTTCAGAGTGGGGCGTGGTCGATCCGCCCCATCCTTCTGGGCTTCCCGTCTGCTCTTTGCAGTCATGAGCTTTCCCGTCTGCTCTTTGCAGTCATGAGCTTTTCCAGTCTGCAGTTCTTCTGGACTACTTCTGTCTGCGCCCTGGATCCTCTGCTCTCCTCAGAGGACTGTTGTCTCCTGTTCGGATTCTGTTGGGCCGGGTGCATGGTTGGTGGACCTGGACCTCCAGGTCCCTTCTTGGCACGTTCCTCTCCAGTTTTTCTGGGGCTAGCACGGTTGGTAATTACCTATGTGTCCTTACCTAAGTGTAGTTACAGGATGAGAGCTACTCTCGTGGTGTCCCGTCTTCCCAGCACCGTCATATAATGCTTTGATTATAATTGTCATATTGTCATATCATGATTGTCATATGTCATGATATGTCTTAATATGATTGTCATATGATGCTTTGGTGGTGGGGCTTCAGGTTTGCTGTTTTTATTGCCTTCCCTATTTTGAAAAGGGCACTTTGTATACTCTTTGCATCTTTACCGGATCTTAGTGCCCTGTCTGCGTCTGAGATTCGGTGTCTGGCCTACCTCGACGACTGGCTGGAGTGGGCTCCCAGTCAGTCCGCTTGTCTGTTCGCCAGGGGATGGTTCTTTCCAGATCGCTGGGTTTGGTTTCCTGGTGATCTGGAGGTTTTACCTTCTGTTTCCGTCCCGGGTTCGGACCTGGGCCTTGTTTCAGGCTCTTGGGCCCCTCATTGTCTTCCCTCCAGAAGTGTTACTGTGGCTGTGGTCCCGCCTTTGGCTGTTCAGGAGGGGGTCCCGGGTTGCTCAGCGGCTGCTTGGGCGGTTGTGCAGGAGTTTGCACTTCGGCGTGCTTGTTTGCCAGCGGAGTCGGGTTTGGCTCCGGCGTCGGTTGGTTCCTACGGAGACTCCACTTCCGCCTCTTGCATTCCTTGGGTTCCTCTGGGGATCTGGTGTTGGTGCTGCGTCACCAGCTTCCTCTTGGGGGTTTTCGGGGTTCCGTGCCTTGGCGGCTCCCCGAGCCTTCGCTCGATGTGTTCACGGACGGGTCGTCTCTCGGCTGGGGCTTTGTGACCAGTGCTCACCAGGTCGGCCGAGGTTGATGGAGTCTGTCTGTCCGTCGGGCTCACAGCCCGGTTCAGGTGTTCATGGCTGTCTGGTTTGCGCTTCGGAGGGTTTGGGTCACTAGGTACTCTACCATTCAGCTCTGTTTGGACTGTTCTCTGGTGGTTCTTGCCGGAACCACAGGGGGTTTGGTTAACCGTGTGGTTCGTGTCCGGGGTGTGTCCTGCGTCCTGGTGGACAGCTGTCTCTGTTCATTCCTCTTCGTGGGTAGGCCAGTCGTCGCCGATTCGTTTTATTGGCTCTGTTGGGCTTATGGACTCCTGGCCATGGACGTCTTCGGGTCGGCGTGGTCTAGGCGTCGCCCGTTTTGTGGCGCCCTTCCCACCTGCGAGGACTTCACGGTGGAGGCTTTCGGCAGGCCTGGTCGAGGTGGGGGGTACCTATACCTCTTCTCCCGGTCCGGCTGTTGCTTCGGGTTCTGGCTCAGTTGCAGCCCATTCCCACGAGAACAGTCCTTATGGTTCCACTGTGGCCGGCGCGGCCTTCTTTTCAGACGCTGCTTGATAGGTGTCCGTACCCGGGGCGTTTTTCCTGAGGCTTTGCCTCTTTCAGCAGGCCGAATCGGTCCTGTCCGTGACTGGTTCGGCCTTCTCTTTGGCTCTTCGCGTCTGGTATTTTGACGCAGGTATCGCCATCTCTATGGTGTTCAGGTGGCTTTGTTGACGGTGTCCCACCTGCGAGCTTCGTCTTGGAGACTGTATGACGTTTATTACGTCTTCTCGCGTTTTGTGTCCCCTCCGGCCTGCTCATGAGTCGCCTGAGCCATCCTGGTCCTGGTTCAGGGTGCCTTCTTCTCTTCCCCTCAGTTTCTGGTAGCCCCTTCGGTTTCAGTTTCCTCCTCTTTGGTACTGGTGGTAGCTTTATTGGTGTGCAGCCTTTCTCTGTCCTGGCGACGGTCGAGACGGCTGCTTTCCGGAGGGGTTCTTGGGGTATTGGTACTTGTTTGGTTTGGCCGGGGGGTGCGTCCTGTGTTGTCCAGTTGTGCTTTTTGCTGTTGCCGGCATACCGTGCCTGGGGATGCGCTGTGGTTGATCCGGTTCCTTCGTTCCCTGTTTTCAGGGCTCGGGTCTCCCGGGTCGTCCGCAGTGTTTTCCTTCTTACTGCGGTCTGTCTTTGCGCCCGTGCTGTTCAGACGTTTGCAGCATTTGCTGCTGTGTTGGTGACGTCTCGAGCTCATTTCGGGCGCAGGGAATTGTGGGTCGCACAGGTTTTTGGCCGCCCATCCATATGTGCGTCTGTTCTTGGGCGTTCTTGTTGCCTTGGGTCGCAAGTTTGCGACCGGTTGTCTTGGCTTTGCGTTGCAGAGTTTGTGGCGGCCGCCTCCCGGGTTAGCCCTTTCTTTTCCTTCTCTTTGGGTATGAAGCTCCAGGGAGCCGTAGGGGCTCCCCACAGAAAACCAGCGTTGAATGTAATGAAACGCCATTTTCTGGGTGAGCCCCGGAGGCTCCCTGGAAACCCTCCCTCCCACCGGTCGGCGGTTTTTTCGCGTTGGTTGAGGCTTAGCTTCCGAACTGGAGCTTGGCAGCCGGCGCGGTAGGTCCGGGGCTCCCCCCTCCCCCTCCCGGGGTGGGGAGGGCTGCGCAGACGATCGGCGCGGCAGTAAAGTGTGATGTTTGCTTGTTTGCTTGTTTCCTTGGGATTGTAGGGAGTTTTCTACCTCTCTGTTCGGTTTTTGTTGTAGTTTCTTACCATGTGGGGTTTGTTTTGTTACGCCTACCTTTCTGGGTGCCTAACCCCGGTCGATGGCAGATAAGGAAAACCCCCAAACCATATGGGGTTTTCCAGGGCCATTGCTCCCTGAAACCTCTCTGAAGGGGCCAGGTTCTGGCGCTGGTCCCTGGTAGGTCTGAACTCCTTAGCTAATGTCCCGGTCTAACATAACACACATTAGCCCGATAAGCTCCAGGGAGCCTCCGGGCTCACCCAGAAAATGGCGTTTCATTACATTCAACGCTGGTTTTTTTGTGCAAGTTGAGATTTGTTATTACATAGGTAAATTGGTGCAAGTAAATTATTGAAACAAATATTTCTGCTGTTTTTCCAGGTTCGTGGAGCTGTGACTGTAGTTGCACTACTTGGTGTAACTTGGGTCGCAGGAGCAGTTAGCATTGGATGGGCACGCCTTGCATTTCAGTATGTATTCTGTCTCACTACACCACTGCAGGGATTGATTATCTTTATTGTACGTGTCGCTCAGCACCCAGAGGCTCGAGCAGCGTGGATTGCTCTCTTTACAACAGGAACCCTAAGACGCCGTCCTCCAACACAATCAACTCATTCTTCTGCCCATACCCATTCAACCACCTCATCTGCCCTTACTCCTCCACGTAATAATCATTCTTCAGTACGCACTGTGTCCACCAGAGTTTCACTCAGAACTTCCATTAAACCCTCAGCGTCTGTCAAAAGAAATGGTTCTGCTAAACATAGTAGCAATAAGAATGGAAGTATTCACAGGTATACATCCAGTTCTGGGGGAACAGAATCAACACATTATAGTATGAGCACAATATTTTCTCGTCTTGTTAATCGCTTCGCTAACAACAGCATAGAGAATCATAAATCTAAAATTCAGGAAGATAAAACATATAGTTCTCCTTGCACTGCTAAACCAGTTCCTGCAGCTGTGAACGAGCCAGATTATCTTCCTCTTTCACACCACAAGTCATTTTTTAGTGAAACGTTAGAACAAAAAACACATTACCACAGCAACAAGAATGAGTCTTTGTACCGTCCACAGTCACTGGTGGTATTACAAGCAGACAGCCATGGAGGTGTTTCAGCCAATAATTCATCATTGTTTTCCAAAGATAGTATAAGCTGTCAATTTCCAGCTTTTCTCCCAAATAATACACTCTCAAAAGAACTACTAGAGGCAGGAATTCCACCATCCATGGTACCACGAAGATCTCTAGGCTCTTTAACACTACTTACAGCTGCTAAAGAAGGTGACGACTCTTCTTGGCATTTTGTTCGACCACCACCTGATGGCCGCAGTGATCCAGTGAATGTTGAGAAAATTGTTCAAGAAACAGATAACCGAATTATCCCTCAAAAAGAAATAGAAGATAGAGGTAATATTAATTCAGCACGTCAGCCAATTAGAGCAGAGGAACCACTAAAGAGTGATGGTTGTGTTGTTCTCTCTGGGCATCGTGTGGCAACAAGTCACTCAGTCGTGCTGTCAGGGCAACGTAATAGTGTATTTTCACCTACAGTTCTAACTAGAGCCAACAGTGAGTTACAAATGAGTTCTCCTCACATAAATCCTAATGAGTTACGTCGTTCTGCGTCAGTGTACACATTAGGGGAGTGGGAGGATCCAAGATCATCATTGGCTTAAAATAAAATGCATTTAATACCAAATATATTCCAAGTGCAGTTAGTTAATCAACACAGTGAAAAGTGGTTTAAAAACAGATAAACAGAGACAATAAATTTATAATGAATTTAATTTCACCAGAGAAAAAATGCACAGTTCACTGATATTTATATACTGTAGTACTTGTGTGAGCTAAATAAGTGTCGTCACATGACTTGAAACTGTTGTGTGCTTCGTAGTTTACAACAAAACTATTTCTACAGTATTTTCTGTTAAATATTAGTGCATACATATTATGGCTGTTACAAGGAAATGTGATCAATAGTGTGAGCTTCTGTGCATGTTCTCTTAATGAAAAGGTCCTGGCATCTTTCCTTGTTTATCTCTAAATAGACTCTCAAGTGGATTTAAAGACTGGCGTCCGGTGACTTTAACATTCTAGTTTCATAATATAATGTACAGTAATAATTTATTGAATGGTAGTACATAATTAAACAATAGCCTGGTTCACAAATAATTACAAACTTTGCATTTTTTCTGGGGAGCCCTGTCGGCTCCCTAAAGCTATTCAGACTGATATGTGCTATATTAGTTTGGGGACATCAGTTATGGGAGTTCTGCCTACCGGGGACCACGAGCCAGAATCTGGCTCCCTTCAGAGAGGTGCAGGGAGCAATGGCCATATGACCACTCTACATTTAGAGTAATGTCAAGTTTGCCATCGACCGGAGTATACCCTCAGAAAGGTAAACGTAACAATACAAACCACCTACTGGTGACAATTGCAACCCACATCTGAACAGAGCCAAAGAACTTCACCCCAAAAAGATAAACACGCAAATCATCATTTAACTAGCACACCTGCTCGTTAGTGCCCACCCAGGGAAGGTGGAGCCTGCTCAGGTGAGCCAGCAGCTCAACCCTTGAGTTCTTGACTGATGTGCACTGGGGGGCACACGTTACCTCTGGCCTCGCTTTCTTGTCTCGATATTTGCCCTGTGTGGATGTGCCAGTTGTGTGGTAGCCAGGTGTTCTTCTGTACACAGAACTGCACGTGTCTAGGACTAGCTTCCCAAGATGCCCTGTAAGTACTACCCTTGCGTGTTCAGGGTTATCTTCCCTGGGACATTCGGGACTCACTTGCATTGAGGTCTCGGTTGCTTGGTGTTGGCCTCGTCCTTGGCGTTGGGTGGGGGTCTTTGGTTTCCGTCTTGCCCTGGGTAGGGAGCGTTTGTTGCCAGATGCACTGTGGTCAGCGCAGCCTGCACACACGTGGCGGCCGTAGTCTTTCTTTGGCTTCCAGTTTGTTTGTGGGATTTCGGGGGTTTTGCTTTTATTTCTTGGTCTTTCTCCTTGAGAAGGTTTGCCTTTCCCTGGTTCCCTGTTCCAGGGCTCATGTCTCTCAGGTTGTCCGCAGGGTTCTTTAGTATACCCAGCCTGCGGTCTACCCTCGTGCCCATGATGTAAGGAATTATGCTGCTCTCGCTGCTGTATTTGGCAATATGTTTTGGGTTGACACTCGGGCACGGAGGTTTTGGAAATCGAACTAATTACGTTGTCTCCAGACTAATTACGAGATACGAGCTAGAAGGTGTTGAGACTATGAAGTCAGACTGCAAAAGGGATCTGGGAGTTATGATTAGTAAGAATTTAAAACAAAAAAATTAATGCATAAATGTCCATAATAAGGCAAATAAAACACTGGGATTTATTTATTGAAGCATTAGTAATAAGACACCTGGTGTTGTTCTTCAGCTATATCTTGCTCTTGTTAGGCCCCATTTAGATTATGCAGTTCAGTTCTGGTCACCATATTATAGAATGGACATAAATTCATGCATCCAGCGTAGGATGACGAAGTTAATCCCGCAAATTAGAAATCCGTCATATGAAGAAAGATTGACAAAGCTTAAATTACATTCTCTGGAAAGGCAAAAAATTGGGGGTGACATGATAGAGGTGTACAAGTGGATGAATGGTCATAACAAAGGGAATATTAATAGGGTATTAAAAGTATCAACATAAGACAAAGCACAAAATAATGGGTATAAATTGGATAAGTTTAGATTTAGGAAAAACCTATGTAAATTCTGGTCCGGTAACAGGGTTGTTGATTTATAGAACCTTTTACCGCGTAACATAATAGAAGTAGGATCCCTTCATTGTTTCAAGCGTAGGTTAGACATATATATGAATGGGATTGGGTGGATATAAATAGGAGCTGCCTCATATGGGCCAATAGGCCTTCTGCAGTTACCTTCATTCTTATGTTCTTAAACTAATATAGCATATATCAGTCTGGATAGCTTCAGAGTGCTTCCGGGGCTCACCCAGAAAATGGTGTTTCATAACATTTAATGATGTTTTTTTAAGGAAAAGCTGATGACTTGGTGGTGTGTGTTGTCCCAGCCAGTGTTTATGGTGAGGGACCTTTAAAATACAATGGACAGATGTTAGGAGTCAAACTGCTTCTTTATTGTGAGTAGAGAAAGTATCTGCCATACATATTGCAGCTCCAGTGTGTTCAGTGAGAAACTTCATATGAAGAAGCACACAAGTTGGCCTGATACAAAATAGTATTCAATGTACAAAGCATATACTGTATATAAACTATATGACACCACATTGTCATCATAGCCTTATTGCATGTAACTATTATTATGGTGGAAATAATACATTTTGTAATTTCTTACATGAATTTAAAGTTAATTGAAACTGGATATGGCTATGAATGTTAATAGGTAATGCAATGTTGTGTAAACAAATTTCAGAGCATAGGTCTATGTTTATCTTGGCTTTATCAACATATGCTCGCAGAGCATATGTTGATAAATTTTCTGTGGGAGCCCCATTGGCTCTGTGAAGCTATTATCATTGATTATTTGCCATACTACCTAGTGTCATCAGTTGTGGACTTCTATTAGCATACCAGGGACCACAAGCCAGAACCTGGCCCCATCAGAGAGGCAGGGAGCAATAGCCTATATTCACTTTACATTTAATGGTTATCATCTATGCCATCATGAGGGAAGACACCCAGAAAGATAGGTGAATCAAAACAAATCACTGCCTGATTTAAAAATGCAACTAAAGCCCCCAAAAATGCCCAAAAAACTCCCAAGAAAAAAAAAGAAAACCCCCAAACTTTGTGCCAGGGGGAAGCCAGCCCTAGGAGTTCAGGCCAATGGGCTTCAGTTGTTTATTGATGTGCTTATCTGGTGGTCGGGTTGCTCTGGCTCCTATTTCTAATTTTGCAATCTTTTTCCTTTGTTTCACCTCCAGCCTACTCATGTGCCACTTCAGCCTGCCTGGTCCTTGGACTGAGTTCTTTTCTTTCTTCTTACTCAGTTTACTCAGTCCGGGATTGTTTTTGGAAGGCTTTGTTTTTACTTGCCTTGGCCTTTGATTTTTGGGTGGGTGAGCTTCATGCTCTTCTCTGGCCCTGGGGTTTTTGTTCTTTCGATCTTGGGGGTTGTTTTGTTCATTTGCAGCCTGCTCCTTCTTTTCTGGCGAAGAATGAGTTGATGGGCTTCCAGAAGGGTTCCTTAGTTGTGGATGCTTGGTTGGTTCGGTCGGAGGTGCATCATGAGCTTTGTCCGGTGGCAGCTTTACGGCACTCCCTTGGAGCCACAGGTTCTGTTTCTTTGGACTCATTGTAGGTTGATCCAGTTTCACTAGTTTCCTGTCCCAGAGCTCGTGTTTCCCAGGTTGTCCGCAGTGTCATTAAAGCTAGCCAGCCTGTGGTCTACCCTCGTGTTCATGATGTTCACAAGTACAGTATGCTGCCTTGTTGGCCCTTTTTGGTAATATGTCTTGGGCCGATGTTTAAGCTTGGGGGTTTTGAAGGTCTAATAGGTTCATGGCTGCCAGGTATCTTGTGATTGTTTCTGGTCCTCTGCAACCTTGTATTGCATTGGGACATCTTTCACAACCTTCAGTCTTGATTTAAAGTTGTTGGTCAAGTTATCTTGAGGTTATCTTGAGATTGAAATTGAAATTGAAATTGAAATAAGTTTATTGAGGTAAAATACACACAAAGGGATGAGGTAGCTCAAGCTATTCTCACCCCATTCAGTACAACGTGTTAATATATACATAGACACACATCACAAATAAACATATTGCCAAACATTCTGAGAGGTAAACATATACATTTCCTCCTTCACAAGTAGTATGTTATCAGACGTACACACAAATACTTTTATGACCTAGGTATACTGTATAGACAATTTGCAAGACACCTGCAGATAATTCAACAAAATATTACAATCTTGGTGCAAAATTCTTATATCTCTCAAGAATATCATCAACCTTTCCGTTGTGACACATCCAGGCTATTTGTTCAGGAACAGTCCTTATCTCAGTGTTTCTATATACACTAATCAACGGACAATCAAGAATATAATGGGCAAGGGTGTGAGACCTTAACATACCACATAGTTTACACTTCGTGTCATTACCATGAACATCTATCCCATATTCCCAGTAATATTTGTACCCAAGCCTGAGCCGCATGTGCACAGAGTCACTCCAAGCATTTCTCCTTTTACCATAAGTGAAATGGGTGTTTTGACTCACATACATGTAGTGTTGCATGGTTTGACTACTCTCATACATTATCTCTCTCCTCTCCACTCCCGCCTGTGCCTGAATATTTCTGATTTTGCTTCTTATTTGTCTCATTGTGAATTCACATTCAATGTCAACTTGTGGTTTTGATGTGGCACGTTTGGCCAAGTCATCCGCCACCTCGTTGAGCACTATTCCAACGTGAGATGGAATCCACATGAATTTCACACTATAACCTTTCAGCTGTATCTCAGTTATTCTTCTCTTACAGTCCTCCACTATAGACATGAAGACTGGGTTTCGACTGTTTAAGGACTCCAGTGCTCCTCGGCTATCGACAAATACAAAAACATTTTTGTCGTCATGACGTACTTCCTCCAAACACGCCAGAATGGCCTGCAGTTCAGCTTGTGTGGATGATATATAATTACTAAGCCGGAGTTCAATTATCCTGTCCACAGTCCCAAACTCCGTATAATCCCTTATTAGGACACCACACCCTGCCCTGCCATCCTCCGCCACCGACCCGTCGCAATATACATGTAAACTGAGATGATTTCGGGGATTAGCGTTCCCGTGGCCTGGTCCTCGACCAGGCCTCCTTTTTGTTACACATCCCCAGGAAGCAACCCGTAGCAGCTGTATAACTCCCAGGTACCACTTTACTGCTAGGTAACAAGGGGATCAAGGTGAAAGAAACTCTGCCCATTTGTTTCCGCTTCCACTGGGGATCGAACCCAGAACCTCAGGACTACGAATCCAAAGCGCTGTCCACTCAGCTGTCAGGTCCCACGGGTGCTCATGCCTCTCCCTTAAGTTTTCCATATTTGTCCTTCTCTGTGGGTAGTTAGCTTCAGGGAGCTGACAGGGCTCCCCACAGGGTAACAGCATTGAATGTAATGGAACTCCAGTTTCTGGGTGAGCCTCCGGAGGCTCCCTGATACTCTCCCTCCCCACAGGTCAGCGGTGTGTTTCTCATTAAAGAACCGAAGCTGGTCAGCCAGGGCACCCTGGGCCGGCTATCCCCTTCCCCCAACAAGGGGAAGGTGGAGTTAACTTGCGGGGGCTAGTTTCACTAAGTTTCAGTTGTTTCTTTTGTTATTGGAGGCATTCTTTTGGTATTTTGGGGGCTTTGGTTGCATTTTTAAACCATGCAGTGGTTTGTTTTGTTTTGCCTATCTTTCTTGGTGCCTTCCCTGGTGATGGCAAAGATGATATCTGTAACAACTATATTAATGAATAATATACTTCCTCCATATTCTCGTTAGCTTATGTGCAGATAATGAGATGGGTCTGATAATTCTATTTAGCCTATCTCCAAGGGTTCCACATTCCAAAAGTCTTAGTCAAAGTCCTAAAGTCCATTAATTACAATTCCCAAGTGTACAACTAATTACAATTAATATCTCTTTCCAAGGTTACAGGATCAATCAGGCCAGCCAACAGGTAACCTACCAGATGATAACTTGTAATATAAGCCCGCTTCGGCGAATCATCATCAGATTAACTAAGACTCTTAAGAGAGATTCCACAGATGTTCAGCCCAACTGACATTCATCAGCAACAATGTAACAGTCAACGAGTCTAGTTCCTTATTTCTCAAGACGCTACAGCCTTGACACAGAGCAGATAGCCAGATTCAGGCCACATTGAGCTTCCATGCTCTCGTCCCACATTCAAGCTCTTCGACAACCCCCCACCACATTCAGAGCGCCACACTACACACTCACCCCACATCTAAGCTTTCTACCCCCGGCCTCACTCAGCACTCTGCCCTGCTCCAGGCTTCACCTCGGTTACTTCGACACTTCACTACATTGGCAACAAACTGACTGCTGTACGTTGTTGGCAATATAGTCTGCTGGAGTTGTCTAGACTATACTAAATAAATAAAGAAAAACACTAAACTCTTTGTGTCTTATCACCCATATACGTACACGTAAACATACATCACATATTCTTTAAATAAATGTTGTGATCATAAGCTATCGCTCTCTGAGGGGGGCCAGGTTCTGGTTCGTTACCCTAGGTAGGCAAAAAGAACTGCAACTTATGACACTAGGTAGTAGTATGGCACTCAGTGATGATAACTTCATGGAGCCTCTGGGGCTCACCCAGAAACTAGCATTTCATTACATTCAATGCTGGTTTTTTATATATTAATTTTAT